CTTCTTCTTCTTCTTCTTCTTCTCCTTCTTCTTCTTCTTCTCCTTCTCCTTCTTCTTCTTATTCTTCTTCTTCTTCTTCTTCTTCTTCTTCTTCTTCTTCAGTAGCTATGATTGTGGCAAACCCCCGTCAGTTTATCCCAGCTACTACCTCCTTATCCTCTTGAAAGAGGACACAATCTGAAGTCACTCTTAATTTCTCAAAGAGGGTTAAGAAAGCCACAAAGGGGAAGCCATCTAAACTATCTAAGACCTCTCAACAGGTCTCAACTATTGAACTTCGCCTTAAACCTGAGGCATCTGTTGTACCATCCCTTCCTCTTCAACAATATCTTCAGTTGTTGTCGTGTGTGTGGCTCCTACCCCAACCACTTCAGTGACTCAAATCATTGAATGCGTGATTCCCAGGATAGCCACTGCTGATCCTTCACATTTTTTCTCAATCGTTCTCTCCTTTCCATCTTCTTTGGTTTTCATTACACGAGCTAATGACCCGATAGTGGTTATCCCCACTATTGGTGAAGCTCTCACCACAGGACTTGAGGATGCTTCTCTCGAATCCCCTCAGCTACATACGTCTGATCCTTTTGACAATGCATTTGAGATGCTCAGTGGTAATTCTTTGGATGCTACTGATGAACCCTCAGGTATACACCAAACCCCCTCCCTTTCTTTCTTTGTTACTAACTCCAAGCTTTCTCATGTTCAATGCTCTCCTATTTCTACAGGTCCTATGGAGAATGAACCCCAATCACTGAGACTGAGGCCTATGATATGGTTGAGGATGTCAAGCTGATGCTCCCTGCTATTGCTACCGTCCTTGACAGGATGGACTAAGTACAACCAAGGAATCCCCTCAAAGGATGACCTGGCTCACGACCTCTCTGTTGTCCAAGCTAAGGTTCGTGAAGTCAAAGAAGAGTTGAGCTCCATGAAGACGGAAGTCCAACACAACTCTAAAGTTGTTGTTGCTCTCTCCAGCAAGGTTAAAGATGTTCAAGCTCATCTTACCAAGCATGGTGAGCTCCTTGAACAGATCTTCCAACTTCTGTAACAACCAGAACCTATCCATGAACCCTCCTTCAGAGTAGCTGATCGTCATCAGCTGGATATGGTCGCTAAGCTCAACCTTCGCCAGGCCGAAGCCATTGCTTCCTTGGAGTTAAAGGTGCAAGACCTGGTTTCTCGCCTCCTTCTCTTAGGTAATAATGTTGATGATGACAAAGAGGGGGAGAAGAATACGGAGAAGGTTGTAGAGAAGGCATTGGACCTTCCTGCTGAGGATACCAGGGAGAATATCCCAGAAGCCATCGACGATGATGATGTCGTGGTTACTGCTGCTGACCATGAAGACCTTCATCCTTCCACCTCTGCATTTCCAAATGCTGGTGATGAAGATGATGATGATAAGGATGAGGAGGACTCTAAACATCATATCCTAGACGCAGGTACTGACCTTGGTGGTAATGATGATGACGACGATGATAATGATGATTTCTCCGTTCAGATCATTCCAAGACAGTCTGCTAAAGGAATCTCCTTCAGGGAACCTGCTTACCAAGGAAAAAATATCAAATCAGCACTCCTATGGCAAAGGAAAAGGAGTCGCTGAAGAAAACCTTGTCCTAATTCTTAGGGCACTCAACCAAAATCAGGATGCAGACACTTCTTCCAGGTTTGTTCCTGTCACCTCAAAAGTTGAACCTTCTATCCCTCTACTCTATCTATCTCAACAACACCAACCCTTTTTCTCTCAACCCATCTTCCATCTTTTGAAACTCTTGAGGATGATGAAGATGAAGTCTGCAATCTCATACACAGGAAGTCGTCAAGACAACCTGTGTATTCAGAGGTTGAAGAAAACCTGAGGATGACTCAGTTTATAAGTCAACTTGACCAATCCAGAGTAAAAACTCCTCTTCATACATCTGGATGTGGTGAGTTTGACTTCCTCTCTGAAGCTGAACGAGAAAAATCCTTGAAAGCTGAACAAGAGTTGAAGCAATATCAACAACAACTTAAAGACAACCTGGCTGGAGTTATCCAAGACTGTAGTTGCTCAAGCTCTTGCTAAAGGGAAGTTCAAGCAGAAAGATCCTCTCAATGCTCAAGTCCAACTATTAATAGAAGTTGAACGAAAAAGACAACGAGTGCTGAAATTGAAGGATCATGACCTCAACTGGTGCAGAGAAAGGATCAAAACAAGGATGAGCCCTCACAAGATCTCAAACGTCATATCAGTGGTCGAATGAAAGATGGTGCTCTTTTAGTTTCAATGGTCATCTTCCAAGAGAACAACAATGATGTTACTGAGTATCCCTCCTTTCTCAGTTAGTATGATTTCTATGAATGTCTCGAGATTTGACAGGCGATTCAGACGTCTAAATCCAAGCATAGGGCTTACATTGAAGAAGTTCTGAACGAATTATTCAACAAGAATATCATCGAGGTTTCTCCTCTACCACAAAAGTCTTCTCGAAGAAGAAACCTTTCTGATCCTAAAGAAGGTGCATCCCACAGGAACGAATATGAAACAAAATTCTCAATGGATGAGCTCTTCAAGGATAGAAAGAAGTTGTATACCTCAATGCTGAATTTGTCACTGCCTGAGAAGGGACCCTATATTCCCAACACAGTGCATGTGAAAACCTGAATATGGACTTATGTTCATTGACTATAATGGTCAATACAGATTTGTTGAGGTGAAGACAAAAGGGATTTGTTTTGAAGAAATGTGATCTCGAATCCAAAGGGGGAGATTGTTAGGTCAAATATTATTATATCCAAGATCACCGTAATATCATCAAGATTGAAGATTTGAAGAGTGGTCAATGTTGAAAGTAAAGCCTATAAAAGTCAAATAAAGTCAAAGTTGTTAACATTTGTTATAAAGTCAATGTTTTAATTACAGCTTGTTTGTAGTTTGAATTTGTATTAGTCAATCATATAAAAAGATTGTTAGATTGTAGAAGTGTATAAATGTGAAGAAAGGGATTTACATTCAATCATCTTGTAATTGTTAGAGAGAGCTTGTAGAGAGAAAAACTGTTAATGACATGATGATTTCATCTCTAATTATTGTTCTTGATTGTTAGATTAATTGTTACTTGATCATTGTGGAATTAACAACCTAAAAGAATAATACTTCTTCTGATTCATGTGTTCCTAAATCTACTAAAGACAAATCCAAAAATGTGCTAATAGAGTATGAAGTACTTGCTGAATTGCCCAAAATTGTTTCAGTTCCTAATTCTTCTCCACTCTCTACAACAATTCCTATAACTTTAGCAACTTTTGATTTAGTTCTTGATTTTCTCTACTCTCTATAACATCTGATTGCTCAAAGCACTCAATGTTGAACCTGTAATTGTAATTGTAGTGAAGATGAACACTGAGCACTTCAAGCAACTATCTGTCATCAAGAGCCAAACAGAGAAGATACGATCAATTGGTGGTCCACCTAAACCGAAGCTTCTGCCAAAAGTTCCAAGATTATGTGATTCTCCAAGACCAAAGATCAATCTCAAAATTTGTTTTTCAACTCCTTTTGTATGTAAGATCCGTGAATAATATAAATCATTTGACTTCTTGAATTGTTTATATTTTTTTTATACTGTTATCATATTATTGATCGTGATATTAAGTTTGGACAACTCTTATTATTTATGTTAAATATCAACTCAAATGAATTACTAAAATCAACATAATATTAATTTTTAGAAAGAAATTAGAGAAAAATGAAAAAGGACCAAAATACCCATATGTGAGTTGATGTCCATTAAAGCAAGAAATTTGTATGAAACAAGTTGTAAGCAAAAGGAAAGAAAACGGTAAAATCTGAAAGGGAATCTATATATATATTAAAGAAGAAACCACATGTAATGATGTG